GGGTTTAGGGTTTAGGGCTTCGGCCCGAACCAAAAAATCGCTTCTTGGTGCGCGTTCTGCAGCGCACACTGCAGCCCCCCCGGGGCCTTCAGCGTTTGCCACATACTCTTGTTCTCGCTTTTGCTTCTATGAGTTGTTTTATTGTGGTTTTTCGGTCTCAACGTGCATGCCTGATCGGATACTCCCAATGGGGATTGCGGAGTCTTCCTGTCAAGTTGCGAATGCACGACGACATTCTTAATTCTAATACAGGTTCGTCTAACCTTTCTAGTTGAGCTGAATGGAGACGGTCAGGTTTACGTGGAGGTTTGCCACCAACAAACCAGGCCCCAAAATAGTGACGCCAAATAAAACCTACTATACCCCAAACCCTGCATATGTTCTCAAACTCCCACCTCTCTACCTGGGAGAGCGCCGGCGCGTTATGGAGTCTCTTCGCCCAGCATCATAGCGCGACGTTGAAAAGCCTCGGCCGCAAACCCTGACGTCCCTTATTTGGGACTCGGTGTAGTAGGATAGGGTTTAGGGTTTAGGNNTTCAGGGTTCAGGGTTTGCGGTTTAGGGTTCAGGGTTCAGGATTTAGGGTTTAGGGTCTAGGGTTTTGGGTTCAGGGTAGTAGGAATCCTACTGCACATGGTCGATACGCAAAACATACACTAACAAACCCTCAAGCCCGACTGAATATCCACAGTGGCTACCTACTCAGCTACAAAGTATTAGTCAGGGGTCTACAGTATTGGGTTCCTTGTAGCTTCTTACCTCATCAGCAACTCTTTCACGATGTGGGTCCGGGATGAAGGGATTCGGATTTAGGTAAAGTGCTGAGATTTGAGGGCGTCACCCTGAACCCTAAACCCTAGAAGCCATCCTCTGGGTCAACTACTGATGTTCATACAATACAACACTCCAAATTGTCGAATATAGTATAATGTAACAGAATGTGCGAATGTGCCATAGTATAATATCAGGAAGTACAACAAAAAGCCGAATGGAATATCATATCTAAAAACAAAGCATAATGGTGTAAACAATCACATTAAAAGCAACATGTAACAGAACATACAACACAACATGGCTAATGCATAGTCTACAACAAAATCGTGTAATCATGTATAGCATACGCTACAAGTTATACAATGTGTACTATGAAAATATAGTCTCTTAGAGTTCAAGATATGTCATATATAACATATGTTATGTCTACCTATACCTGGCATATCATATATCATATACACATACAAGACAATATGTAATATGGCATGTAAACACACATCATACATTATCAACAATGAAATGCTTAATGGGCAACATACGGTGTTTTGCAATAGCCATGCATAGACTAAAACAACATGCAACAAATTAATATAACTTGTAAAACATTAGATATGTGGTAAATAACATCTGATATAACACTACATTATACTGTATTATACAGTTCCGGGTGATGGAGCCTCACCCCTCCCTCCGCTCCACCAGGTTTAGGTTCTCTGACTGAATCACTGACTACGGGCTTTAGTATTCATGTACTTGGAGGTTCAAGGGTAGCTACAAGTGGGGCTACAAGTCCCCTGATATAGGTTATAACTACAGTTAACCTACTTATAACCCTACTTATAACTACCCATGAACCTCCAAGTAAGGTTTCAGGGTGTGGGTGTCGGGGAAACGTAAATCCCAAACATGCAACCGCATAGCCACAACCAAGCAGTCAGCAGTGTGGGGCCACGGCCTAAAGCGCTTTTCGGTATAGATTTCCCTGTCCTGCAGGCGAAGAGGAAGGCTTAGAGGTTGAGACTTCAGGGTTCGGATTAAGGATGCAGTTTTTCGGTTTAGGGTTTAGGGTTTAGGGTTTAGGGTTTAGGGTGCCTCGGCCTGCCATTCCTCCATGACTTCGGTTTTGGAGCTTGGCTAGGAATTGAGCCCCAGACCTTCAACGTAAAAATTTAAAAATTGCCCCGAATCTGTGAACCCCAAGCACTCGAACCTAGTACCTACCTACCCACCTGCCGACCTATCTACCCACCTGCCTCCCTGCATCCATGCATGCATGCATGCATGCATGCATGCATGCACGCATACATGCATACATGCAGAGTTACATACATGCACACATACACGCATACGCACAACATACATACATACCAACATATATATATATAACACATGCATACACTTACACACATAAATACGTACTTACATGCATGCAGGCATACATACATACATACATACATACATACGTACATACATACATACATACATACATACATACATACACACACATACGTACATAACATGCGCACATACAAACGTACATGCATGCTTGCATGCAGGCATACATACACATATAAATACATCCAGAGATTTATACAGACACACATGCACACTTACATGCACACATACACAGGTACATGCATGCATGCAGGCAGGCATACATGGAGGCAGGCATGCATACATACATACATACATACATACATACATACACAGACACATACATGCAGAGGTACGTACGTACGCACGCACTTGGATTTATATGTACATACATACATCCATACATACACATGCATGCTTCCTTGTATGTATACATACAGAGATGCATGTATGTGTATGTATGTCTGTTTGCGTTTGCACGTATGTGTAGGTTTTGGAGATTGTATATAATGCTAATATTAGAAAGAAGAATACTACTATCTAGCTATAGATATAGATATAGATACAGATACAGATATGGATTTGGATGTGGGTACGGATATAGATGTGGATATAGACTTAGATTTAGATATGCGTGTATATACTGCGCATACGTATAATCCATATATACTTATCCACATTTCGAACTACATAAGTATATACATGTATGTATACAATAATGAAATATGTATATATAATAATATATTAGTGCGTGCATATATATATATATACATGTAAGAAACAAAAACATACGAGTGGAGAGAGAGAGAGAGAAAGAAAGAGAGAGAGAGAGAGAGCGAGCCAGAGAGCGAACCAGAGACAGAGACAGAGGCAGAGTGAGAGTGAGAGAGAGAGAAAGACAGAAAGAAAGAAATAAAGACAGGACAAAAAAGCAAAGAAAGAAAGACATGAAACAAAAAGAAAGAAAGAAAGAAAGACAGGTCAGAGAGAGAGAGAGAGAGACACAGGGAGACACCGAGCGCGAAGCGAGTGTGTGCGCGTATTGTCTGGTAATCGAAATATGATAAACGATTCAGTGGCAACATACTAGGCCCCAAGCAGTTAAACTCCACACCCGTTCCCAAACCCGGACCCCTATACAATCCCTACGCCCTAGCTTTCCCGTGGTCCGCCTCCGACCTCACCACGTGGGTCCGTTGAGAGAAGGGAGCCGCTGCGCCCTGAAAAGGAGACCCAGGGACTCCAACATTCCTAAAGGGTTTAGGGTTTAGGGTTTAGGGCTTAGGGTAATTAAGGAATATTCCTTACATTATAGTAGGATCCTGAATACGATTTAAGGTATATTCCTTAATTAAGGGATCTTGGAGTCTCTGGGGACAACTTCGGGCTGCCTCTCTTTGGGGCTTCGGGCTTAGGGGTGTTGAGGGTTTAGGGCTTAGGGGGTGTGGGGTTTAGGGTTTAGGGTTTAGGGCTTAGGGGGTGTGGGGTTTAGGGTTTAGGGTTTAGGGCTTAGGGGTGTGGGGTTTAGGGTTTAGGGGGTTGGGGTTGTTGCTTTGTTTAGAAACCTCTTGTCCACCTGCCCGTTACGTTAGGTTGAACGCCAAGGTTGGCTGAGGCTGTAGCCAGCTGCTTTCGGCCATACCCTACCCCTATATCAAGCCAAGTAAGCCAGTAACTTCAGACCGAGTAAGCCATCTAATTCCAGTAACCTCAGGCATTTACAGCACAGCAAACACCCTACACTAAGCCGACATTACTCAAGACCTTGACCGCGGAGAGTTGGGCAGATGACTGCGAGCTGAGGCGCTGGCTGCAAATCATAATATAAAGTGTACATGACACAGTCAACACAATACTAGAACATGGTTGCCAGCCCCTATCCTTGCAGGCCACCTCCACGTTGGCGAATTGCATGACGACCACTTGTTTTAAAGCAGTCAAGCTCGTGGGCGACTCACGGCACATCGTTAGATTCTTTCAAGTCGTCACACTGGATGGATGTCTCCCTGACCCCAAAATGAATGTGGCTTCTATCATAGACAGCCGAGGCGCCTCTTGAACAGAATGTAGCCTTGTATCTTGCGAGGCACTGCTGTTGGGTGAAAACAGAGATTGCATGATTCCGAGGAAAGGCATCTGATTTTTTGCGGCTTCTCCCACATACTCGAAAGTAACTGGTCGCTTCTTTTGCAGAAAATGAACGCCACAGCTTGCAGAAGCAAAATTGCACACGACATACTATACAGAATCGCCGCAAGGCACTCTGTAAAAAAGTCCATCACGATTTGTCTTTCTCAGAAGACTCGTTCATCAATCGTACACAAACTTTATGCACGACCTTCAAAACCATCCTGACTTGAGGACTAAGCTTCCGTGCCAACTCGGCATCTTCTGAAAGCTGCTTGGCTGCAGCAGCCACCTTCCTCAACGAGTAGCCCTTTTTCCCTTGCCGCACCATCTTGGCCACTTTTGAGGATAGCCCTGCCATACGCATCGCCTCACTTTCAATCACCAGCGGCGTGACATCACACAGAAGCATCGCAACATGGTAACAATAATCCCACAAGCGCCCTTCTTCTGCAGCCCGCAACCCATCTCTGATAGGGCCAGCAACTGGCACTAGGCTAGCAGCCTCGTCTGCAATGACAGTGGCAAGGTTCAATACAAGTTGCAGCGGGGTTTCCTCCTCTTCCTCGTCTTCCTGCTTTCCTTCTGAGGTTTCAGCCGCGCACCTTTTCATGCTGAATCCTCTAGGACTTCTGGCAACTAAGAAGGCAGCTCCACCGGCAATGAATGGCGAGATGTGACGTGGGGCCCGTGGGGCTGGCACAAGTGGCCGCACCATCAATTGCAGCTTGTGACATGGTGGAGAATGGGCCCTTGAAGCTTGCGAGGCCAACATCGCACCGCTCTAGTGGAAGGTGCAATGACTGGGGTTTAGGGCTTAGGGGTTTGGGGGTTTAGGGGTTTTGGACTGAGGGCTTAAGGAATGGTTGACGAGGATCCCATGGTCGGCGGGAGGAGTTGGGGTGCGATCCCTACAGCCTTAGCAGGAAGGTCATGGGCGAGCTGTCTGTGGAAGCTGCAAAGATTTCCCTTCCAGCTGGAATACATGATGAGAATGAGATTGTATTTTTGGGTTTGGGGCTTGCAGTTGCAGGTCTCTTTTTGAGCCATGCGACGGCACCACCGACATCTGCAACGCCCAAAACCCTAAAGTCCTAAAGCCTCACAGAGCCCGTATAAAGCTCAAAAGCAGCCCCTACAGAAGCCTATTACACAACGAAGCAGAACCACCTTCAACCCGTCTAAACCTCATCCCAAACCCTAAAACCGCTAAAAACACCATCAAAGATCCCTAGCCCTGAACAGTCCCTAAAATGCCGGAAGAGCCAAAGACGTTGAGAAAGCAAAATGTGAAACTCGATCACCGAGGCAGAGCGCAACCCATGCGCCTCCACGTGGGCGGCGGCGCACTTCGCCAGGAGCGTCAGTGGCGCTCCGTTGCCTATAGTAGAAGCCCAAAAGTTGGAAACCCAATAGCCTGAATCCTTAAGAGCAATTAAAGTATAAGGAATCCCAGCACTATTTGTCCTTGATCCGGTTTCCAACTTTTTGGAGTTTACTATAGAGGTGCAAATGTGTGTTGGATACTTAACCCCAGGTCCTAAACCCCCTAAAGCCCAAACCCTCCTAAACGCCTCTGAACCCTCCTAAACCTCCAATCCCCCCTAGACCCTAAACCCCAAACCAGATAAGTTCTCGACTGCGGTGAAGGACATAGAGCCCCATGGCGAAGGAGAGAAGTGACATTCCATCCTGACAATCGGAGTCTTCTGGGTTCGGGATTGAAGCCCACGGTTCCGGGTGGGTTAGGGGTGCTTCGGGCTGGAAAGCACGTGTAGGTGCTTGAAGAGCTGTAATAGACAGGTGCATGAGTGTGTGCATATATACATATTTGTATGTAGCTGTGCATAATTTGTTTCTATATTATGATGCCCCACGCACGCGCGCACACACACACACGCACACGCAACTATGTATGAATAAAAAGCCTGTATACGTACTGTGCCTTCCTTTGCTATGCTTTGTCGTGTCATACCGTATGCATCGTAATGTTACTTTGCAATAAACCACTAGACTCTAGGCTTTTCAGTATACCGATCGTTGGCCCTCACATACTAATTCTGAATGGTATGACAAGAACTATCTATCTGCATGTACACTGTATGTTGTATCTGTATATATGTGTATATGTATATATACATATCCATGTTGACCCATGTTTAACTCTAATCGCTACAGGTTCTAAGGTTTGCAGACCACACTGTTGTCCTGCACTGCCGGGCAAACCACTTCAGAACATACGTTGTAGTACGAAGTGTCTTCTGATTGAGAATTTGGAGATTCCTAAACCCTAAACCCTAAACCCTAAACCTTAAACCGAGGTTGCTTCAACTTCTACCTCGGTCGCTCTAAGCGCCATACCCCGGCATTAACCCTGAAGCCTCAACCGTCAACTCTAAATCCTAAACGCTAAACACAAGTCCTTCCCTGGCTCGTCCCACCGGCTCACCCTTTAGGACTTTAGGGTTTTAGGCAAGCCTGGGGGCTAAACCGTAAACCCTGGGGCCGTAGGCCTTGAACCCAAAATATAAGGCCGTGCGACAAGTCCCCTTATGCCAATCCCAGAAAGCCCACGCAGTTTCGGGCTTAGGGGCTTTCGGGTTTTGGGGTTGTGGGGTGCGGGTTTGAGCGCCGGTTGTATGCCACGAGCCTCCAAGGCCATGACGACCGCCCAATGCCTTGCAGACGAGCCAGAAAGCCCTGAACTAAGGACTGTGACCTACACCCTAAACCCCAAACCCTGAACCTTGTACTCTAAACCCTATACCCCAAACCCTGAACCCTATAACCTAAACCCCAAACCCTGAACCCTAAACCCTAAACCCCAAAAGCCCTGCACCTCGATTTTTACGGTGCTGCGAGTTGCAGCAGAATCTTGTAGGGTCCTTACTCACTGGAGGAAAGTCACCTTGACCTTAGGGTTTAGGGTTTAGGGTTTGCCCCATCATTTCAAGTGAATTCTTAGCTTCGGGGGCTGGCTGAGCATGCATCTTGCGAGGGGCTTGGTAGATTGCAAGACTAGGGCTTGGAATCTAGAGCCCAAGGGGTTAGGGTTTAGGATTCTTACTTCCCCAACAAGCCAAGAAAGTAGAAGGTTAAACTTTCAGATTACTACTCAACTATAAGAACCCAAAAAGTTTAAAGGGTGGGTATTGGAGAACTAAGGATTTCGGGTCAGGGTTCAGGGTAGAATCCCTACACCGGTCCTACGCCTCAATCCCAGAGCCCCATGGCCTTGCAGCTTAGGCATGCAGGGCTTCAGGCTTTACGACTGATAGGGTTTCAGGGATTAGGGGTTTAGGGTTTTAGGGTTTAGGGCTTAGGGGTTTAGGGTTTAGGGTTTAGGGTTCAGGGGTTTAGGGTTTTAGGGTTTAGGGTTTAGGGGTTTGGGGATGGGTTTAGGGTTTAGGGGTTTAGGGTTTAAGCCGCAGGCTTCTACACGTGTGCTCGAAGCTCTGACCCGCCTCACCCCTAAGCTTTAAGAACTTCAGGCTTGGCGTTAAAGCACGAATAAGTGCCGCTCTTCAACATCTACCAATAGGAACCTCTAAAGCCTAAACCCTGAACCCCAAACCCCAAAGCCTAAACCCTAAACCCTAAACCCTAAACCCCTAAAGCCTAAACCCTGAAGCTAAGAAGCTTGCAACTGCAAACCCAAATTCGAAGGATGAAATGCTTGGAGGGAAAGCTACGGAGGAGGCGAGGTAGGGGCTTAGCAAAAAAAAATGTATCATCAGCATAATAACAGCAATGATGTGAATATGCATCTTCATAGTAGTAACAAGTTCGGCGTGCAGGGAATTTAGCCAGGGCTGTTGAAACTGAAGTACTCTAAGGCAGCGACCCCTACACGCTGAAGCCTGAGCACAGAAGAGATTAGCGTCAAGGTTCTTGCGGTTTAAGGTTTAGGGTTTAGGGTTTAGGGTTTAGGGTTGCAGAGAGGAATAGAAAATCGACCTCGTTCCATCCTTGACAATCTCGCTCCACTGCTCGGTGGCGAGATGTTCTGTCGGACCAAAGAAATTCGCAGCAACCATATCACCCTAAGCCCTAAACCCTAAACCTTAAACCCTAAACCCTAAACCGGTCTTGACGTGGGGATTGACACCATTGTCTTCCCTGAAGCAAGGATCAGGATCAGAGTTGTCGCGAGGAAACTCAGGCAGCTCCACAAGGCATGGACAAGATGGTTTAGGGTTTAGACTTCTTCAGAACCCTGGGTGTTAGCGGCGTAGGGTCGAGGGACTTGGTAAGGGGACGACCGTCAGGAAAAGGTTCAAAAGCCTACCTGCTAAGGGCTCCCCCTGATGAAGATGTAATTAAAGCAAAAAAGGTTCGTAGAGGCTACATGTACAAGGAGACTGCTGCGGTCTACACCCCTACTACACCCCTACTACACCCCTACTACCCCCCTACTACCCCCCTACTGCCCCCCTCCTACCCCCCTATTACACCCCTACTACACCCCTAGCCGATGAAACCCAAGCCACGGAAGCAAAAGCCTTGCACCCACCAAGTCTGAGGAATCAGTGCTGCTGGTCTTGGGTTCAGGGCTTTTTTCGGGCTCTAGACTTTCACAACCTCCAAGGCTGGAAGCCCTGAGAACCCTGAACTCCTGGAAACCCTAGGGCCCTAGGGCCTAAAGACCTCAAAACCTCTAATGATTCGAGGGGCAATCCCTCTGCACAGGACGTCCTGAGGGTAATCCGACACCTCAGTGAGAGGCTGACCCTAGACCGAAAAGGATTTCGAAGGTTGAGGGCTTGCCCTCTTGAAGGCTTGGGATGACTGCACCCTAAACCCTAAACGGCCATAAACCCTAAACCCGAAACCCTGAAAACAGTGGCCTCTGGACTCGCAGACCGAAACCCCCAACGGATGGCTGTGGATGTTAGGGTTGCGCTTTGAGGTTTTACACCGGCGTTTAAGAAGGCTTCATTGATTCATCAGGCTTCTGCACCGTTAAGACTGTAGGGTTTGGGGTTTAGGGTTTAGGGTTTAGGGTTTAGGGTTTAGGGTTTAGGATTTTGGGTTTAGGGTTTAGGGTTTAGGTTCACAGCTTTCGGAAATTCCAGTTGAAACCCAGAGACTCCAAGGTTGCGGCTTATTCAGGAATATTCTGCATTTCTACTTGGATCGCAAAGAATGCCTGCACCCACACACTAACACTAACCCTGCTAACTCAGTCAGTAGGTTTCAAGTGGGGTAAACCCTTATCCCTGAACCCTCCCTACACCTAAACCCTCAAACCTAAACCGGTGAACTTCACGACCGACGATACAGTACTCCCGAAACTTCAACCCTAAACCCTGAACGACCACAGGGGCCTTAACAATTAGAACAGGATAATAGGGTTTGAAGGTGTGGTATATTGGGGTACATAGTTGTAATCATAAGGAGCCCTCCAGAATAATGGCATTACTTATTCCGACCCCTTTGGGTAGTTCTCTAAACTAGGGTCCCTTTTTAGGTCGACCGACTAGTACGGCACTCTTATAACAAGGACCCCAAACAAGGGACCCTAATTTAGAGAACTACCCATATATTACTTGCTGAGCTACTTAGCCACCTGAGCCTTGTGAGAACCCTCTGGGCTTAGGGTTCAGGGTTTAGGGCTTTAGGGTTTTAGGGTTTAGGGTTTTAGGGTTTAGGGCTGGCGTTCTGGTTAAAAAAGCAATAGGGCTGTTACATAGCGGTTGAGGATATGGCCGCGGCTTAGGGGTTTAGGGGTTTAGGATTCGTGGTTTTGGGTTGCTTAGAGTTGTGGGGGAACTT